ATAACATACAAAATATGTGTTAACTGACTATATTATTGGTAAAGCTTCTGCTCAACAGTAGGCATTAGTTAAGTTTTTAGGGAATTAACAGTTGTAAGTGGATTTTTGACTGTGTAGGAAGGTCAGTGCACCTAACCCCTGTGTTGTTCAAGGGTCAACTATAGTTTCATTCATTTCTAGGCCAAGGTCCAGCCACTGGAAAGTGCCAACAGTAAATATTTTAGGATTTGCAGGCTATATGATCTGTGCTGTTGGGACTACTCAACTCTGCCATTGTAGGACAGAAACAGCCAGTCTATATGAAAGTCATAGTCTATACCAATGGGCATAGCTATGTTTTAATAAATCTTTATTTACAAAATAAAGTTATTGGCCCAAAAGACAGATCCTGACTTATTCCCCTCCACAAGAAGTTTAACCATTTCCATTGATTTAAGGACAACTTTAGATTTGCTGCCCATTATTACTTCTCCAAGCTGGATTTCCTGACACATAGATTATTTTTCAGACCCACTAGGTTTATATAATTCTGATAAAGCTTAATTTTTTAGAGCTGCCCCTCTTCCATCTAATTCTCAATTTGTCTGCTTCTCTCTCCCTGCATGAAATAACAGGGAATTATTTCATTTTTCCTCTGTGAGTATATTCTGCTAAAGCTTAAGTGACCAGAAAACACTTAACTTTGCAAAGTTATCAAGTCTCTCTTGTAGCCAGGAACCTCTGTGGCTGAGTTTCAGTGGTAACTTCCAGGGCCTGGACTGGTGTTTTGTAAATCAGAAATGTACGGTAAGAAATGGTGCTACCTGGCACTGTATCAGAAATGCCTTTCTGATTTACAAACCACCCATCCAAGCCCTGTGCTGGAAGCTAGGTGTGGCTTCTGTTTCCAAGGAATCTACCATCAAGTTGGTGATAACAGAAGTTAACAGGCAATTATAACATAACTATATTTACATAACATGTATGTGTATAACTATATTATAAATTTATATTACAATTACTAATTATATAATGATAAATCATATTGGGTTGTCGGAAAAGTCATGACGTTATTTTGTCTTTGTTTTTCAAAGGTCATTTATTTCTATAAAGAACAAAGATCAATCAATGATACATTGCCCATTTTGTTCGATAACCTTTTGCCATTTTCAGTGATCTTCATAATTCCTCATTCATAGAAGGACCTGTCTTTATTTGCGAAAAACTGAACAAGGTGCCTCATCTGAATTGAACGTCATATCATGCAAGGAGTTTTGAAGAGAGCAAAACAAGTGGAAGTCTGATGGCGCAAGGTCAGGAGAGTATGGTGGGTGTGGCAACACATCTCATTCAAGCTCCAATAATTTTTGATGGGTAATCAAACTTGTGTGTGGTCTCGCGTTGTCGTGATGGAATACAACTCCTTTACAATTGACAAGCTCTGGACGTTTCTGGATGATGTATTCATTCAAACTGTCCAATTGCCAACAGTATACATTTGAATTGTTTGGTTCCTTGGTAGGAGCTCAAAAAACACGACACCTTTAAAATCCCACCACACTGAGAGCATAACCTTCCTCTGATGAATGTCTGCTTTCAATGTCGTTTGAGGTGAATCATCACGTCAGGACCAAGACAGTATGCATACCACATTGTTGTAAACAATCCACTTCTCATCGCCAGTTATCAGTAG